AATCCATTCTAACAGGCCAATTTCCCTAAGCTCTGGATACCTTCTTCTACATTATACCAAGGCAGGTCTGGTACTTCAATTTGACATAAGGTAGGCCACCGCATAATCCATGCTTCAGTAAGCCAACCAAATAAACTATTAGATCCTTTCCTAACCTCTTGAGCTGAAAAACTGAATGAAGAATCTGTACTCAGTGGACCTAAATCAATAAACTCAGACTGATTCAATCTTACAATCCTTGCACCATTATCCCACACCCTCAGTAGCCATTCCTATACATATTCTCTAGGTTTCTGTCTGTACATGTTGGCAAAATCAAGTAGGTCTTTTCGGGTGTAGCGTACCACCTCCTCAGTCACACTTTCTATTTCACCTTTTGGGGCTTGCTTGGACTTAACTTTAGTTATAGGTCTAGCAGCAACAATGGGTGGTTAGGGCAGTTCCTGAGAACATTTAGCAATGTCTTCCATGGCCTCTGCCTCAGGCAATGACTCAGAAGGAACAACTGCACTAATCTCATCAAACTGAGGTGGAGGGGATAATGGTTTTACAGTAATCCCTTCAGATGGGAGGGATTCAACAGAATTCACAGGTTCCATATCCTGATCTTCCCGACTATCTGCCCATATGTCACCATTTCAGGTTTCAGGATCCCATTTTTTCCTAATCAATGCTCCTTACTTTAACTTCAGACACCATTCTGGGTTGGCAATTTAATTGGCACTGTAATTCAGCCACCCTTACAATAAGACTCTGGGTTTGGTTTTCAGGAATATCAGCTCCCTTACTAGAAGAAATAAGGCATTCTTTCAGAGCACAACTGGAAACACTGAAGTCTTTTATACGGCACTTAAGTCAAGACAGCAGCTCTGAGCTCGTCTCGCTCTTTCATCACTTTGTCTAGTGTAAGTAGGACCAACCAACCAGCTTCCTTATACTCTTCATGCTGACAAAATTGCAAAAAAGTATCAAATATGCGATCACCCAGAGCCTCACTTTTCACAAGTACTTGATCTATTGGTGGTGCTATTTTGCATATTAATGTTGTCACCTCACACCACAAATTAGCAGGGCCCTCTTTACTAATAGAGGCTAGGTCACTAGTGTCTTAACGATTAATCAAATTGGAGAACCAATTTAGTAAGCCCATCCTTATGATTTTGTCTCTCTAAAACCACTCTTGGTACCAAATGTGTTAGACTGGGTTCTTTAGAGAAACAAAACCAGTAAAGCTTATAGAGAGAGAGAAAGGGAAATTTATCTTAGGAAAATGGCTCACACACTTAGAGAAGCTGGCAAGTTCCAAGTTATTGGATCAAACGTCAAGCTGGAGGCTTTTCGCGACTT